ATTATACGGACCCCCGATTTGGTCCTTGAACTAAAAAAATCCCTGATTTGATCCCTACTGTTTACCATTTTTACCCCAATTTGGTCCTTCCGTTAAAAATTGTGTGACATGGCATGTTACTTAACAGTTACTAGATGACATGTCATATAATAATATAAAAAGTAATGATGTGGAAAAAAAAGCGATGATGTGGAAAAAAAATAATATAAAAAAATATTATGAAAAATAAAACTTAAATTTTTTTTTTCTTTTTTCTTTTTTTCTTTTTCTTTCTCCTTTCCCTTTCCCTTTCTCTTTTTCCTTCCCCTTTATCTTCCTCCTTCCCCTCGGAACCCAACAAGCCTGGGTTCCTTCGAACCCACCCAGGCGCTGGGTTCGCCTGGGTTCGTCGCCTGAACCTGGGTTCGACGAACCTGGTGCTGGGTTCGACAAACCCAGGTCCAGGCGACAAACCCAGGTCCAGGCCACAAACCCACTTGGGTTCGTCAAACCCAGGCGATCTGGGTTCGGCCTGGGTTCAACGGACCCAGATTGCCTGGGTTCGATGAACCCATGCGTTGGGTTCAACGAACCCAGCTAGGTTCGAAGGAACCCATCGCTTGGGTTCGACGATCCCAAGCTCTGGGTTCTTTCAAACCCAGTGCTGGGTTCGATCGAACCGAGGCACTAGGTTTCTTCTCAAACCCAGGCACCTGGGTTTCGTTTGCACCCAGGCGCTGGGTCTCTTCTTGAATCCGGGCACTGGGTTCCTTCGAGAACCCAAGAGCTGGGTTCGTTCGAATTCAGGGGCAAAAAAATTTCTGTTTTTTTTTTTTTTGTGGGTTTGGTTGTTTGATTAAGACGAAGAATTGTTGGGTTCGATATTGAATTGATTGTTTGATTGAATTGATTGTGTGAATGAAGGATATTGAATTAATTATTTGATTGAATTGATTGTGTGAATGAAGGAAGATTCGAGAAAGAAGATCTTGGAGGAAGAAGATGATGCAAAATTGTAATTTGGTGGGCCCCACTTTTGTTTTTGTGTTGGGTATGACCATGTCATCATTTATCCAGGTGTACAACTGACGTGGCTTAAATTTTTGATATATCTATAAGTTAATGGACGATTTTTAACGGAAAGACCAAATCGGGGTAAAAATGATAAACAGTAGGGACCAAATCAAGAATTTTTTTAGTTCAGGAATCAAATCAGAAGTCCGTACAATAGTTCAGGGACCAAAAAGAGGTTTTAACCTAAATTCAATGATCACATTTTTTTATAATTAATAAAAAAAACTCTTAATACTAATATTAATATTAGTACTATGATAGTCCCTCCTCATAAATAAT